TGATCATCTTGGTGTCCCTTCTCTGGACGTGCTCCAACATGTCCATGTCTTTCCTGTGCTGAGGATCCCAGTGCTGGATGCAGTGGTCAAGGTGGGGGTCTCACAAGAGTGGAGCAGAGGAGAATCCCCTCCCCTGACCTGCTGCCCACACCGCTTTGGATGCAGACCAAGACCTGTTTGACTTTCTGGGCTGCAGGTGCATGTTGTTGGGTCATGTCATACACAAGCACCCCCAGTCCTTCTTGTAGAGCTGCTCTTGAACATTTGCTGTGGAATACTTACTTATTGCTTACTTAAATCTCATATTTGGGGGAAAAAAAATTATCATAGGATTAGTTGGGTGAGTTTTTCTTTTTTTTTTTTTTTCCTGCATTAGCCATCATATTTGGATTATGATTCATAATCCCATGAAGCCCAACATTTACTCATTTTAGTACTTGCGCATTTATTTTTTCCAGTCTAAGCACAATAGTTCATGCTTTTATTTACTGCACTTGTCAGAATTCCAGACTGTTTTCTCCAACTGGAGATAATTTTGGACCGAAATCTGGAACTTACCACCATCCATCAAGAGTCTGCCACCCTTCATCTAGATGTCATCCACAAAACTGGCGTGTGTACACTGTCCTGTCAGGCACATTGCTAACGAAAAATTAGAGTAGCAGCAAGCATGGAAGAGACTCTTTCAGATCCTGACTTGTTGTGACCTTTTGTTTTGACAGGAAACCATCAGGAGCTACTCTCACTGCAGCTCTTCATTCTGTTGTGCAACCGACTTTTAATAATTTCACCTGGACCATATTCCCCTACTTACTTTACAGGACTGTCACATAGGACTGTATAAACCATTGTTACAGCCAAAATATGTCACATCTATTTATTCCCTGTTATCCATTCAGCCAATTACCCTGTCAAAGGGAAAAATTAGATTCATTTGACATGATATGTTCTTGACAAATTCATGTTGACTGTTTATTATCACCTTATTATACCCTAGGCCCTTACAAGTTGATACATTAATCTTTTGTTCTAGATATCAAGCATAGCCTAAATAAGATATTAGTCCTCTGGTCCTGCTTCTTTCCGAACAGAAGTTAGAACCATAGTAAAATACAGCAGAGTTATATTGCATCCTTATCCTCAAAAAAATCCTTCACTGTTCTAAAGGAAGACCACCTTTTGAATCCTGATAAATTCATACAGTGGAACAATATATCAATTTGGTGATACCTTTCTTTCATAGAGATGGAGAAAAATAAGGTAAAAAACCAACAAATAAGGACTGATGAGCATCCATGATTTGCAGGGAAATATTATTACTGTTGCTATTTAAGTCAAACAATAATTTCTGGCTGATATAGTTGGAAATATTTTTTAAAGTGTATCATAATAGAATTCAAGTCCTGTGAACACATCAGAACACTTCCCAACCTTTCCATAAAGGCAAACTGGGTCATCACTCAGCCATCTCATTAAATGAGAGGGAAGAAAAAGGGAAGAAAAAGGTAATCCCTTTGCATGAAATTGATCTTGTTGGCAGATACTGATAACTATAAAACTTCATCAAAAATCTCATGGGCAAAGGAAGATCACATAGTCAAGGCAGGAAAATTCAGTGAGTGTTTTTTTTTTCTTCTTTTTCCAGCCATAAGCAGAAAATGACTTCTACAGGTACCTGTAGGCACCTGAAATATCCTACTGAAGTTGTCTGGACCATATTTTACATATACTTTTAGAACTTAAAGATTTAATGTTTGCTACAAAGCAAACATTTACTGGTGCAATAGCTCTCAGCAGCTGCCAACATCTAAGTGGCATCATAGGCACTTACAGTTGAGCATCTATTTAAATGTTTCACCCTAGTTTGAATGCACAATGTGAGTGTAAATGATATATCTAGATTTCTCTGAAAAAACAATTGCTTGAAATGGACTCCACAAAACCTACCTTTGCTGTTCTAATGTTTTTGCTCAGCATGGAGAGGCTTTGGTTATTTGCACATTCCTCCCTTCCCTTGTATAAGATTTATTTTAAAAAAACATATTGAACACACAGCTGTCATGAAGATTTATAGATAACTCCTTTACAAAGAAGCTAAATGATTTTAGACTATTTTGCTGCCTTTTCTCATCTTTTTTAAATGTGATTTTGATACTATGTAACTGGAAAAAAAAAAAGAAAAAAAAAAGAAAGCTCTGCTGCTGTAAGAGGAATCTCTATCTATAGGGAGAAAATTGTGTATTCTATGCAAAAAAGAAAAATCCCACAGACTAGTTTTATTGTAAACATTTTCATAATATTGTTGTGCAGCAGGCAAATGGAATTTCTATTCATTACTCTCTGATAAAACCTATCTCCCGCATCTAAAAATAGAGACATATTGGTAGAATAGACACAAAGCCTAGGTTCCTAGACAGAAAAGTTATTTATTGCTGTTATGGATTTAAATAGTGTTCAACAAAATATGATGAGAATGAAAGGTAGGAATATTGAATAAATGAAAACTTTTTCATGATAATAAGAGAAAGAATTACAATGTGTGTTCTTGCCACTCATAGCAGAGTTATCAAAAAATGATAGCTAACAGCTCTTTTTCTTCAAAGCATTTTTTTTCTTTGAATCCAAATATTAAATCTTTAGTTTACCACATTTTTGCTTCAAACACAGATGGACATCTCAAAATTACCTAAGCAATGGAGGAAATAGCTCCACCTATTCCCCTCATGTTGCAGAAGAACATTCCTAAACTGCAGGGAACTCTACAAATTATTTCTTGAACACCTCAGCAGAGCACTTTGTGATTTTCAGCAGTAATAACTATAAGCACTGGAATGAGGAGACACCATCATAAAGATATCCACAAATCGCCTCTCTGTGGTAGTGAAAAGAGGGAGAGATATCATTCCAGGTTAATCAATGGGCAGATTTTGGATCATAACCTCTCAATCAATCAACACTGTCGTTGCTTTAAAACTTAGGTGAATATTAAAAGTAGAAAATGAAACATACTCATCAAGAAGGTCTCCCCATTCGGTAGAGATAATATTGATCTATTACAGAGAGGGGAGCATTAAAACAACCTTCTCAACAGTGCTGGCTGAGTTCAAGCCTCAAACACCTGAAGGTGTGAAGGGACAGATAAATATCAGCTGGTCTTCCAAGAGTTTTCTGTGAACAGGTTAAAGTAACAGAGGTCTTCTGAAACCAGTTTTTTTGGATTTTCAGAGCCGTCTGGTTTTATGGACACTGTAGGTAGCTCTGGAAATGGCCTCTGCCTCTTCCCTCTCTCTTTTTCAGAAACCTTTCTAAAAGCAGCAGAAAAGGAGCAGTATGGGAGCAGAGCAGTCCTCTGAGTAAAAAGTATCAGTGTCCACTGATTCTTTGTTTGTCTCAGTGTAGAAGGATTTTTACTTCAAACATTTTATTCTGGAAAATGCCTAGATCTTCTGAGCTGGAAAATTTTCCACTCCACATATCAATCCAAGTAATTTAACTGCTAATGGACTAAGTAACTTTACATCTCGTCTTTTTTCTAGACCTTTTTGAAGACAAACAAATGGCATATCCTCTTTGAAATGAGGTGTTTCTCTCTGGTATGTAACACTGAAGTATTTGATTTGTCTTTCAGCTATATACTGTATCTGGTTCAGTGTGACATGCTTTTTCCTGAAGCAAAGCTAAAAAAGCTGAGAATTTTGAGTGATAAATTGGGCTGCTCGTTGGTAAGATCCACTGTGGCTCAGAAGTCTCTATCATCCCTTCCTCACGAATGACTCAGTATCCATAGTCCTAATTTTGGCATCTGGTTTCTAAATGGAAGAGCTTAATTTGACTCTCCTATTTTTATCTGTGATGGACATGACAGTATTGCCCTTCCTTGCACCACTCTTTGAGAATTATGTCAGTGTTATAAGAGAAGACGTCCATTCAGTAAATTAGCTAAATAACCTGGAGTCATCAGTAAAATTAAATATGTGATGCTGACTGGTCCAGAAATTGTGGCTGAGATATTTTTCCAAGGGATAAAAAGCTGAGGGGAATGAAAACAAATACAATATTTTCACCCCTAGATGGGAAATCCCTAAAATTAGGCTTCAAGGTTTAATTTAAGTTTTTGACAAGCTCATGGTTTTGATAAATAATCAATAAACTAAAAATAGTACAAACTGTATATAAATGGCTGCCTTTAAAGAGGCAGGAATACACAAGAATTATTTCACTTCTTCCTATGACTAGAATTAGAAAGGAACCTTGTGGACACTTTTGGGTTTGACGTCACTCTAAGTCAAAATACTTTTTATTCTGGCAGAAGTAACTTCCATAATTAAATTACGTAGTGAATTAAAGACAGGGGAAGATTAGTTCTCACTAGCAATGCCCATTTGAAGAAACTTCCTGAAGAGCCTAGAATAGCAGAAAAAAATACACTTCACTACGCCAGGGTTGGTCTGCATACACAGTGATTCTGAGAAGGAAATAGAAGCGCTAAAACCTAAGAGGCTTTTCTGTGACACAACAGGTATTAGTTGGTAAAGAGCATCCCAGCACAGCTCCCTTGGGTAATTATGGGAGACAGGTTTCCTTCCTTGGTGTATTAGAGAGCATCTCCAGTTCAGCTTGCTCTGCTTCATTGCTGGAGGAGTGAGAGGATGCAAGGAGCCAACTGAAGGGACACATAACCAGGACTGGTAGAAGAACTAGGATCCAGCAAATATACCAGCGTTATTAGCAGTAATGGATCAGTCAATTTTTCCTATTTACACTCAGTGCAGAACAATTGAAGTTGATGAGCTTACAGGGATATACTGGCAGGGAAAATCTGGCTGGGTGTATAAACACTACCAAGCCATTGTGTTTATTTGAAACCGCCTACAGCCTTTTCATCTGCTTAGCGACAAACTGAAATCACAACGTTTCATTTAGGCTCAATTTCTGAAAATTATGGCACATCCTAGAAGATAAGTACATATTTCTAATCTGATACAAAATTATTGACTTACATCAGAATTGAATCTCAGCTGACAAATGTTGCATGATATGATTTGCTTTCTTCGATGAGGAAGAGGAACTCCAAATGTATGATTTATTACAGCTTTTTGAATTGGGTCCATCTGTGAAGAGAGAAGAAGAAAAATAAAAAGCTTTTCCTGTTCCATTGTGTGCTAAAATCTCAAAATAGATTCTGCATCATTCCATACCATGATCTAACAGAAAACTACTATTTTTCTTTGAAATTGAGTATTTAATTTTTATGTAGTTATACAAAGAGGTTATGCAGAAGGAAATGAAGAAAAATATCATTGACTTTCTTGAAACATTTATCTTATTTCAATTTTATATTTCCCTTCACTGAAGAAAGGTGTAAGCTGTAAATGCCAAACAGGTTTTCCCACGCAAACACCAATTTGTGATATTTATAACAGAGAAAAGCTAACTCAATAAACAAAATAAGAACATTTTTAACAAAATTACTAAGAAAAAGATTAACAAAAATGTGAAATAACATTATGTACATATAATTTCAGAATAGTACACAATACCTCAGTATTATCAAATAATAATAATTATATCCCATGAACCAATAAATGAATCTCTTCCTTGAAAGAACCTCTACACAACTTACAAAAGATAAAATCCTCCAAAGATTATTTTCACAGTCATTTGGAGGAAACTATTTTGAATAAATTCTGCTTTAAAGATGAATTTGGACCTCTATGAAAAGGATTATTCTGAGCTAACTTCTACCAGAACACTAAACTGATAGCATATGCAAGTCAGTCTATTTCCCTATTAAGAAAAATGTATGCCATTTTGTTAGAGAACTTGACAAAAACTACTCAATGTACTTTTTTACTTGTAGGATTGAAATCACCTTCCCCAAATTCATTCTCATTTCTTTTTCACAAAAAACCAATTGACAGATACTTTAAAAATCTGGTAGTAGCTTTACAGCAACTTGGTTAAGCCACTGATATTTTTTATCTTTAAATTGTTAAAAAAAATCACATATTTTGACTAATTCTGATAACCAGTATTCACAGAGCATAATCTGCGTATGTCATGAAAAAGATTCCACCTTTCCCTCTGCCCATGTCTCCATGATTCACTGTTTTCTAGTCTGTTGGAAAGGGTTATTTGATAAATAAAGAATCAGAGTTTGTCCTTAGAGTAATCAATTATTCATGAAAGCTGTAATGGTAGGCAGTCATGGCCTCAATTGCAGTGAATCCAAAGAAAATCACTACAGAATTTTTGCATCACCTGACAGCTGTTCAGTGTCAAATAAAAAATAGGTCTTTAAATTAATTCCTGTGGAAAAGAAAATAAGATTGGTTAAAAAAAAAAAAAAATTAAACACACAGACACACACAAGGCTCCTAGATGAACCAAGGAAAACAGCAGAGCTTTATAGCTCTACTATACGGCAGTCTGGTTTGGAAAAAATTCTCAGTTTGAGCATCTTCTTCAATTTGATGTGAAACATCTCATACATTTGTGCAATGAACAGTATAAAAGAGCACCAATCCCACCTAGAAACGAGGGATGCCACTGTAACATAACCCCAAAATAACACTGATGACTAAGGGGGTAGTATTTCAAGCTCTGAAAGACAACAGCAAGTTGTATAAGACTTTCTGCAGTGATCAAACCATGCTCTAAGAGCACTACTTTTACTGAGTAACATGATCTTGAAAAAGCCCACAATCCAAAAATACTATTATATAGACCAAAAAGGACACCACTGCATAGGAAAGTAAATAAATTGTAATGGCTCTTCTTTTTTTGACTGCTTCACTAAGAGGTGAATTCTTATACCAGCAGAATCAATAGACCTGTATCTTGTTATTTTTAACTAAAGCATGACATGGTCTTAACTGATGCTAATTCTGTGCTGTTCAAGCTTGGAAAATTCTGTTCCTCTTGCCACTGCAGGTCTAAAGCAATTAAGGAAACCTGAAGTTCAGATACAGGGACAAGTCAGCACAGGGTAACAAGAAATTGTGCATTCTTTGATCCAGTGTAACTGTTTGGCTTCACATTAACCACAGCTGTGAGATTCTTTAGAGAGCTTCTTTGTTCACTTCCTTAAGTTATGGCACTTGTCAGATAATGTGAGATAATGGCCTTCAGTGTCACCATGTTAATCTTTCCCACTATCTCACAAGTGCCCATTATCTCACAATGACTTGAGAAAGCCAGCAAAGTTCTCTATGGGTTAAATAAAAGGTACTACCATATTTCACAAGATGGAAAAGCTAATTTTTTTTTTTAACTGGACTTACCCATCTTCAGAGTAAGTATTCTAGCACCAAATGAGGTCGGATTTCTGAGGCAACAGATGCTTTCATATTGAGAATGAGACTAAATATTTTTTAGAATTAAAAAGATCATGAATGTGTAGAATAGTTGTTCTATGTTATACATAACTTTAATTTGGTCTCATGGAAAAAATGTGTGGTGTCTTTCCTAATAAGATAACAGATTTTCTCTTGTCTATCTGCTGATGCAGAAACCCATCAGCACCCCTCCCTTTGAGTTTTTAAAGATGTAGAATTCTAGATATACAACTATATGGCATTACTGACAATAGGATGCTTTGTATTTGTGGCTCTAAATGAAGAACTGTTCTGGATAGTTTTCAAATTAATTAAGAAAAACTGCTTCAAAATAATAATCCCTTCACTGCCAGTTCATAGACTCATAGAATTGTGTTGGAAAGCACCTCATAGATAATTTATAGCACAGTGCTCAAGGTTTACTGCAAACCACAGGATGACTATTAGGTTGAGCAATAAAGATAAATATATAATTTGATTCAATTTTGGTTTCAATACATGCACACCTCTCAGGGTTCCCTCTGGTTGAGAGATGATCCTGAGGTGTGTTAAAAGTCTTTTTTCCCCAACCCAGCTGTCCAAGAAGAAATCAGAAGTCTTTGGTTGTCGTTCTCAAGATTGTTTATTATTTCTCATCTCAAACATTTTCTGTCTGGCCTGTCAAGGTCTGTTCTGCAGGTCGGTCTGAGGCACACTCTCTGCCCATGGGGCTGGTGTTGTCTTTTATACTACAAACTACGTATTCGATATTTACAGTTTTTTTCAAATACCTATCATCTATGTTAGACTGTGACTATCTAGTCTAAACCAATCCCAAAATGCCACCATCACCGAGAAGATGGAGGCTAGGAAGAAGAAGGAAGAAGGACAGGACAACACCCAAATCCCTCCATCTTGTCTCCTAGACCCCCGTAGTAAAATTCTTCAAAATTCCACCTTTCACCCTGTGACAACTGCTGTTATGTTATCTAAACTTTTGTGACTTGTAATTCTTCATATAAAGTTGGAAATTTGCTCCATGGGTTGAACTCAAAGCCACAGGGGTTTTTGGCTGAATGCCAGGGTCTCCGACTACCCTGCTGGGCTTTGAGCCATCCAGGGCATCCAGAGAGATGTTCTGGGTTTCGACATGCACTGATAACAGCCTCTGTGTTTTAATTATTCAAGTTGAAATTTGTGGCAAGATGATACAATTAACATTCTTTGATCAAATACTGTACTCCCTTTCCAAAATCTTCAGGAACTTACCGTACTTTAGGAAAATCCAGGCTTAAACCAAGGGCATGATAGAAATTGGCCCCTTACTGCATATTCTTAGCTTTGACCCTATCACTATAATTTGGTTTTGCTTGTTTTAAATTCAGTCTTGCCAGACCTATGATATTAGCTGCATTCCTTGTGCTTGTGCTCACTATAGAGCATGAAATGCTCTTTATTTTGTGGACTGAAGATGGCAGGAGTGGATGTTGCATGAACTTTTTTGGAGGAAACACCTACCACAAAATCACCAAGAAGCTGACCCAGGAGATCCCTTATTATCCTACCTGGCAGGGGACACTTTTCCAGAATCACCATAGTTGCTATCCTTGAAGGCTGGCTGTAGCCAAGACTTCACCTCATTAAATTTTCAGTAAATATCTGTGTAATGCAGAACCTGAGATGGTATATTTTACATACAGAGAAATCTGATCCTTTGGAAAGTATATCTTAATTATTTTCCACAAATAATTTTTAAGTGTTTTTGTAAGCGCGCACAAGCTTCTGTGTGTGTGTGTGAAGAATTGTTTTATCCTGAAGCTCAAATTCAAACACCAAATTTCAAGAAATTTCAGTGTCTTCCTAAATTTCATAATAACTAATAATTTTTATTAGTTTCTTTTCTGTGACTTCTCATCCCAGAGGCATAAGAATATGCCTAAGTTAAAAACCATAACAAAGCAAGAGCAAAGGAAAGCATGCAAGTTTGATCCACAAAGGCTCAAATCACAAAAGGGATATAAACCAAAGAGACTTATTTTTTCATTTTGTATAAAAACCAAAAGCCATGATATGAGCATTTCAGATGCTTAAGGTTTGCAGTAAATTAATTGAAATTCACTAATATCTATAAATAAAAGCATCCAGGTCAAAGGATAAGATGATGCGGATGCCTAGAGGCTGTTCAGAGCATATGTTAGGCCTAAAGCAATCAAATAAGTAAGTATTTTTACCTCAAGTCCAAAGAAATTCACTGAAAAAGATTTACTCAGATCACTATGGTCTTATACTAAATGAGCAGAAAAAAATGTCAGGTCATTGAAGCTCTCAGGAAAAAATTGCTGTAGACCATTTTAACAGTAATTAAAAAATAAAAATTACCCACCAAAAGATTGATTTCCATTACTTGAACAGCTAAGTGAATTTAGTGACACAGGTACCACCACCTCCCAGAAACTCTTAAAATCCAGATTCTAACATATTTGATAATAATATTGCAATTAATATTGTGCTTATTTGGCCTCATTTTGTACTCACTAATACATATGTTTGTAGAAATCCAGGCTGATGGCAAGAAACATAGTCATAAATATATAATTATATACATATAATTGTAATAATTACATACAATTAGTCATAATATAATTCCTTTAATGTTATTTTGATTGTGACATTGCACTGTGTTAGGGCTGTAACATTGATAAGAAATAAAGATAACTCAGTGTGGGCTCCTTTCATTCATTCTCTTCTGTTCCAACAAACAGTGAAACTAATAAGAGCATTAGAAACAGTTTAAA